TTAAGCGGCAACAGGGAACAAGGTAAAGTGAAAGACAGTGTGACAGACGACAGTCGTAAGGAAGGTGAATTAATAATACAGACATTAGGTACCAATCATACAGTGACACACTGACAGTGAGTGTATAATCATTTTAAAATAAATGTCTGTGAATATTTACATTTATTTTAGAATAACAATAAGCTAGGTGAGTAATGTGATTTACTTGAATTTTCAACTGGCGTCGTTAATAGTTATTACGCTGCATTAAGTTGGTACAATCACGGTGTCTAGATACACTATATGTATTTAAATTTATCATATGCGCGCCATCGGTGTCAATTACAAGTAACATAATTTTACATTGGCAGATATTTCTTAAAGTATGAAGTTTAAAAATTTAAATACGCATATTTCAGATAATAACATATAGGCCGAATATTTACACTAGTGTCGAATTTACATAATTGCCAAGTCCCAGTAGTGGCGAGGTAACTGGAGAACAATGCAACTATATGTTTTATGGTTATGATAAAATGTCACTTACTTGATATCCTCGATGAGGCAGTCCTTCATTCCTGTGACGACGGTGTCCTTGAATGTGAGCTGCAGGCCCACCTGGTCGGCCTTGATCACTGGGAGCTTCATGGGTTCCAGGGGTGTGATTCCCAGCTCAGGGACCCCGCGGATAAAATATGGAACCGTCGCATCGGCAGACGCCTTCAAACAAGTCGCATCTCCATTTCCACATGGCTTAATAAATGGCGCTGGGAACACGTTCAATTATTATTAGTCACTAGCTGTAACCCGCGGGAAATAACTATAAGTTTTTGTATGGTACATATTTGTCTTTGATACACTCCCGCCTCCTATTTCTATAGACAAATGCATAATAACGACGTAACAGAAGGCCATACAAGCACTTTCTTAGTTATGTATACAAATTTTCCGTCACTATTCCACTCTGGTTAACGTTTCAATTTTTTTGTGAAAACGGCATTGTTAATATCATTTAATTTTTAATTTATAACGAGATATTTATTCTAGTTTTTAATATAACAACAACACGAGTGATTCGATTTTAATAAAAAATAAATGTTAATCAAACACTCATGACAATTAAATAAACAAATTGTTTTTTCCTTTAGAGTGGGACATATGTTCTGGTTGGTTGTTCGTTCTCTGTGACATAAACATTAAAAATATAAATAATTTTCATTAAACAAAAATATTCAACTAATAAATCTTATTCACGTAATTTTTACCCAACTGCGCGACGCAAAGGATGTATGTATGTATGTATGTTTGTTTCTATGTGACGTTCTAGAGACCAAATGCGTAGGCCGATTTTGATGATTCTTACGTCAATAGATTCGTCTTAACCTTGCGAGTGTCACTAAAGACATGACAGTAATCAAAATTCACCACAACGACAACCAGACGCCATATTGTCAAAATGAAAAAAATAAAAATCGACGAACTATGTCAAGTGGGGTGTCGTTGAATAGGTATTTTAAAATCATCTTTAGGTTCCTTTTATCAGTTTTCATTTTAAATAATAGTTTAGGATATATAACGATTTAAAGTTGTTTAACAAAACATTATCGATCATTTTCTTACTTATTGATTTGTTTTTATTTAAAGTATATTTATTCAAATTCAAATTTTACCAATCAAATCTTCCCAAAGGGCCCCGACTGTGAGTCGTTCTGTTCTGTATTACTTAACAGAATTCTAAAGTACTAGGCTTGTTTCTTTCTTAATTTCTTTTAAGTTTTTATTTAAGTTAATTTTTTCATGTATTTTTTAAAATTCGTTTTAACGCAGTCGGGTTGTTTTGTTTTTTACCGAACACACGTTTCGTTGTTTTATTCTAACACTGCTTCAATGATCCCGATCCCTATTCAATGATTTGAAAAGAAAACAAAATAATGAATTAGTTATTATTTCTGTATAGATCATGTATAATAGATAGTATATTCTATTTAAAATTTTGGTTTTACATAGATTCCAATGTTGTATGGAATATTATTTTGTCAGGATTGCCACGGCCTAAAGGATTACCCATTGAAAGGGTTAAAGATAAACACAAACTACATATACTAGATGCCGTGTTTGTGCTATACTACATATATGTGGTTAAACACAGAACATAGAGAGAGCTATGTTCTGTGGTGGTTAATTATATATTCTATATCGCACAGCTTTGGTAAAGGTTGAGTTTTCAAATTAAATTTAGTACGATCTTTAAGCTCCGCTATACTGATGAGCTCGGTGGCGTAGTGGATAAGCGTGCGGCCCGGGATCGTTGTTGTTAAACAACTTTCGCAAGAGTCAGTCACGGGATGGGTGACCAAACAATTATCATCTCGAGGTACTCCGTGATTAGGAAGACACGTTATTCCGTCGGTCCCGATTGCAGTCGTTAATGCTCTCCAAACCGCATTGGGCCATCGGGAAGAGACATGGCCCGTCGTCCTTTACCAATGAGCCCTTGCAGTCGAGACGTAAAAGGTGATATTAGATATAGTTTATTCGTAACTGCGTAATTGGTTTGATCAAAAAAATTTGCGTAGATTTCAATTTTCTATTAATTTTTGTTTTTTTTTTTCAATCTGTATTTCAATCGGATAAATAACTTTAAAGTTTTCAGAGATAAAGTACTGTAACATATTGGACATTAGTCGGTTAATTACATAATTAGCTGCTGCTCTACCTTAAAGAAATAAATACCTATAACTTTTTGTTATAGTGCCTTCGAAGTTGTACATCAAAATAATTTTATTCGAATATTGCGGATATTTTGCTATTAATAAAAATTAAATTTAGCTAAAATTAATAATTGTGTTTCGTATCGTGGACATTGGCAGTTAACCAGTTGCCTGGGCATTGCACAGCCGCACTGTAGAAGGACGTTCTGAGTTTAGCCGTGCAAATGAATGGCGAATTGAATCATAGGGCTAGCCGCCTAATTGGACGGACCCAGTTGGCTACAACATTTTCATTATTTATTAACAATTTAAACTTTGAATTTAAATTTTAACAGCTGTGAGTTTAAATGTAGACCAATAAATCGTGATTTATATCGTTCTTAGTCTATTTATTTCAGTAACTGTCTGGTATTCTCTTATTGTATGATGTAATGAGCATCGTCTTATTATTCCATACCAATATTAAACATGGTAAAGTAGGTCTGTGTATATGTCAGTTACGCTCTCAAGCTTATCTCGCTCAACAGAGTTGACTTAGGACATAGGTTGTTTTTTATTCTGATAAAAGGGTGGAATTAATGTTTGAATTAAAGTTTGTACGGAAGTTTGTCATTTTCAGACATAAATTCAAAAACTTTATTTCGGGTATTTTACACGATATAATGAATTAATATTCGTTTTAGAAATACAGCGCAAAGTAACTAAATCAGGTGGCCGAATTCGTGGGCAAAAGCTAGATACATAGGTATTTTTGTATATCACATATTATAAAAATAATAATATTTATGTAAGTAATACCAAAATTTTAAGATGTTGCACATACCTATTAATATTATGAGAGCTCATAGCAATTTACACCTTTGATTATATTCTAAGATTATACATACCGCACAATAAATAAATAACTTAATTAACTTCACACTCACCCAAAGCTGATCTTACACTTAATATCACAGATGCGAAACATAAAACCCTCAACATTTTTGTAAACTAACCAACCGGGTGGCTCAACTGCTGAGACTTATCAGAGGTTGTGAATTACAGCTCGCCGCCAATGTATTTATATCTATAATATTAACAAGAGTTTGACGTCACACATTAATGTCAAGTTTCATGGGCGAATCCGATGAAGTGGAGAAGAAAGATCGGACAATACTTTGAAGCAGTGATCGCTTCCCGTTCGTGCGTGTTGACTCAATAAACAAAGAAACAAAGAAAGTTGTCAAAAGCGGCTCCTCCGCGCCGAAGTCAAGGTGATTGAGTTGGGTCGTTCACTTTAACTTAAAGGGAAGAAATGTCAATATCGGTTTTAAAATGATTCCTACATATATAGGTATATAACGGGTAAACAAGGGGATTTTACAATATTGGCATCACATCAGCGATGTCACGCTGGTAAATGTTATATCGATCTGCATCCTCCCAGGGCTCGTCTAATCACGACATACGAGCTTGTTTCTGACATTTTTTTACTTATTTAATCTTAATTGCCTAGTGAAAGTAGCCAATGGCGGACTTAATGCCAAAGAGGCATTCTCTGCCAGTCAACCAGTAAATTTAGTACAAAAATTAAAGTGGCGATTGGCGGCAATACGCTATTAATATCTCTACATAAGAACTATATCTAAACAACCTACTACACATTTATAGAAACTCGTTTCATTGAATTCCTCCCCCATCTAATGTTTTGTGATTGTTTCCAAGCCTCACTCCATCCCCTTCGAATTCCACGTGATTTATGTTCAATCCCCTATAGCCTCCGGCAAAGGTTTCCCATTTCAATCGGTCGTGTGGTCAAAGGAAAATAAATTCGAGTTTATTTTCCTAGTAAAAAGTAGTCTATTTTATTATATTACTTGGAATAATAATCTGTCAACAATTTCCAAAAAATATCATACCTTATCTATCAAACATATTAAAAAATTAATAAATATTAAAATGAACCACTAAAAATGATTTATTGATTTAATCTCAAATTTTAATCACGTTGCTAATTTTAATTGCTAATTTACTATAACGTTGTTAATTAAAGGAAGTATTATTTACTATACCTAACCTAACCTAACTAATGTTTTTTATATTTATGCAAATTACACAAAATTTTCAATTTTTATATTTGATTTCGCAAGAATTTTAAACCTACTCAGTATTATAATTTGATTTTATTTGTAATGTCGTGTACCTCAATGGAAATACTACTTCATCTGCTGCTTAGTTATTATAATATAACACAACTTATAGGTAGATACATTAATATAGTTTTACTTATGTTTAGGTACCGAAAATAGGTAAATTTAGGTAATTACTTAAAATCGCTATTGAGCTAATTTATGTTAACAATAGTTCTTAAGGTGAATGAAAACGGGAATACTTTTCTAATTTCCTTTTTTATATGAAAACCAAATTATTCCATTTTATGTTCGCCTTTAAATACATTGTAGTATCAAGACGATTTTATTTCAAATTGTTTTTGTAAATACAAATAACAGTTTCTTCGAAGTCACACTATTCTGGTAATATGAAAAAAATGTAACAGAATGCAACAGTTGCAACAAATTATAAAAATATAAGTATATTTCTATGTTATTATCGCAATATACTACCTGTAGAACCAACTTCTTTCTCAACATTTCTTTTTCAACTTTTTAATATTTTTTTCTATCCTAAAATAAATCGGAAATGAAAAAATATAAAAAACTCAACTTTTATTAATAAAACAAACATAACAATTAAGTAAATATTAGATGTCTAATGCTTGACGAGTTCCCTTATGGGCACTTTGTCGAACAGTTTGGTGACCTCCTGCACTATCATCCCGACAGTCTTCTCCACCATCGGAGGAGCCACTTCTTGGAAGATCTCCCGCCAGTTGCTGTTCGCGAATTCATGTATGGCGTCCGCTGTAAACAGATATAGATATTTATATATAAAAGAGCCGATCCTGCCGACTATTTGTCGCGTTATCATTGCCTGTGTTATTTGTCAGTGATGTCCAACTGTAGATAAGTGAAAGATTTTTTTAAATCTTCTAATAGGTAGTTCTTTAGTTTATCTTTTAGATCCACAAAAAAATCAAATTTATCCACTCTTTAGGGTTCCGACTTCCATATCTAAAGGGAAAAATGGGACCCTTTTACTAGGACACCGCGATCTGTCTGTCTGTCGCTATAATGTATCTTGAACCGTGACGGCTAAATAGGTGAAATTTTCATAAATTATACCTATGTTGCCGCTATATCAACAAATAAATACTTAAATCGGACTCTCACACAAATAAAGTGATATTTTGCCCTCTTTTTAATGATTCTAAAAATTAAGCAACCCAAGTGAATAACAGCTTTTACATATTACTTATACCTATATGTAAACACTTCAAATAACTCAGTCGTTATTGAAATCATCAGCATTACTACGAGTCCAACAACGTGTTTCAAATAAATCTGCGTTCTCAAATTCATATGTTATGAAATAAATGTTGATTCCGTTTTGTTTGTTAAATACCAACGGAATAGTTTTACTTACATAGCTGTTTGTTTCCATTGAAGAGGTTCTGGAACCTGAAGTCAGCTCCTGTCTCCACGTTGAAGGTATGCTTCCAGCTGTCCACCGTCCAGTACGAGTCGCGGCCGACGCGACGCTCGCCGAACTCTATCATCACCTTGGTCACCATGTCACCTGCATCATGTGACGGTGTTAAATATATATAATATTAATAGTATTCAGTATATAATATTAACGGCATTACGTCACTATCTTGTCGTATAATAGGTGATCATCACCAGCACATTATAACGTCCCTTCGGTGCACAGTCCTTCCCTATGGATGTAAGTATGTACAGTCAACAGCACACCAGGTTATATAAAACTGTCTAAAACTTTAAAACTTTAATTTATTGAAGGTAGAATTCAAAATCTATTGCAGAAATTTGACAAATTGTGATAACTAGACGTACAGCGGTGTATATGTAGGATGAATGGGTTACTATATATATATATATATATATATATATATACAGAACCCAACACCAGAACCAGTGCGGTAAAGTGGAACGACCGTTTAACTTCAAAACATTTCTTTGTTCTGAACTTATGCATTCTTAAATATCAAATACATTAAGGATATTAAGTAGTGATGAAAAATAAGTAAGTACCTACTTTAATTAATTTTATTTTAATAAAGATTATTTTGTCTTGGCGAAATTTCTAACATATACCTATAATATAGAAAAACAAGTTATTTTGACAAGACACACCCCATACGCTACACAGCACATATTATAAAGCGTACGTATAGTTCAATTGATATCTCACGTATTCTGATTCTGTATTTGCCGTCTCCCTCGATGGCCATCACGAGCAGCTTGCCGGACATGGTGTAGTCGCCCGCCATCACCAGCGAACCCCTCAGCGTCAGCTCCATGTGCTTGCCGGACCGGCTGCAAACGATTACTTGTCAAATATTTCATTATTCTATTTTTAGACGGCCACACGTTACGAAACGTAGGCGATAGGTATTCATTGTTTATGTCCACAATAACCCTAATAATGTATACTATTAAAAATAAAATAAACACCGCTCAGGGAAGCCTCATAAACTAATTGATACTTTTGTTAGATTCATCATCTCGTCGACACGTTGCAGACCACATACATTAAGATATATTACAAATATACTATAGTAAATTATCAAGCAATTAAACAACCATCAAATCTGTTAACCGTTAATTACTTACTATATTGATTATTTATCAGTTGATCAAAGTATTATCACGTAGGCGGTTGTATATTATCGCATGAAGGGTTGGAGGTATACTGTAATAATTAATATTCTTTAGTAATCGATAAGAAAACCAAACTTCATAAAAACCTTCATTTCAATCTGAAAAGCTTTGGAGATTAATAAATAAATATATTATGTTTCATGACAATATTATTAGGTACTTCGTCAAAGGGCACTCAAATTTAATGGAAAATAAAAATATAAAATGACGAAACTTTAAATTAATAACCACAAAGGCGGTGACAAGTTCAAGAAACCTTTTTTGAAGTCGGACGAAGATTTGCGGGTCATATTTTTAGACGATTTCAACTTAAGTTTCTTGAATTTGTTAACCGCCCATTGGTTATTAAGAAACAGCTTTCGCCAGCGGCTTTGCCCGCGTGCTCCCTAGGTAAATTTTTTGAGGGATAAAAGTGTATTATCTAAGTCAGCTAATACCCTATCTGTATACCAAATTTCATCAAAATCCGTTCAGTAGTTTCGACGTGATAGACAGACAAGCATCCAAACAAAGAAACTTTCACATTTATAATAATGTGTTTATAGTAATGTAATAATAATAGGTTTATTTTTCGATTTTTTTATGTCAGTTTTAAATATTGGTAAAAATTATTTTATTTTATGTATTTTCATGATGTTCATGAATAATAAATAAATTAGATAATTTAGTTTTCCTAATAGGTCGTGGGGGTAACGATATTGTAGACGTTTAGAACCACTAATCCAAAAGTAGAAAGAAACACCTTACACCAATTTGACGACCTTGCTGTCCTTCAGTCCCCTGATGATGGTGTTTCTGAACTCCATAGTGAGTCCGGCGTTGTCGGTGTGCACCTTGTCCACGTGCAGCGGGTCCAGGGGGTTGATGCCGAGGGAGGGCACGCCGCCGCTCATCACCGGCAACGCATTCTGCGCGGACCTCACCAGGCACCGCTCATCGTTTTCACCACAAGGCTCGATGAATGGAACTGGAAATAATTAATTAATTATAATTTTTTATTATCTTAATTGACCATCGAGCTCGGCATCTTAAAGGTACAAGTCCTTTTTTTTGTGTTATAGGGGGAACGTCTTATGCACTGGTCCATTTTCCAAATAAGCTTATTATTATTATTAATTTTGTATTTACAATGCCATACTGAAAATTATGCTTAATACAAAATTCAATATTTGTAATAATATTTCTTTCGGCTGTTTGGGTGGATGCCTGAGCTTTGATGAGAATACGCTCTGTAGTAGCGAAAAGTAACAAGTGCTTGAAAGGTTCGTCAGTCCTGTTAGGTCCTGAGTAGCTCAGCGGTTAGAGCAGTCGCCCGGACTGCGCAAAGTCGTGGGTTCGATTCCTATCTCAGGGTGCCAGGGACCAAGTGGATTTTTAAGCATTTTGTATTAAGAATAAGCTTATTATTAGCGCTTTAACATCGTCCAAAAAAAAATCCTATTTCCCTACCACTCGTTCAGACAGTCGATGACAAGCAATAACCAGATTGTAGTCAGTCATCTGATCTATCCTTTTAGAGGGGATGGATGTGTAAAAGTGTAGATGTACAAGTCTTGTCATTACATGTTAATAATCGTGGTCACATTAATGAGTCGTGATTTCCACAAGTTCTTAGTTCATATAAAAAATCGGTCAGTTGCGAGTCATACTCGCACAAGAAGGGTTCCGTCGTGCCGACATTTATAAAAAACGCATAATATCACGTTCTTTGCTGTCTATGGAGTTGTTCGACATTTTTGAGTGGTACTTGTTGTAAACTTGTAAGGTCAAATTTAATGTGATAGTTTTCCTTTTAACTTCATTATATTAGATGACCAAGGGCGGATCCACCACAACTTAGCCGCTTCAAATTTTGAAAGTACTTAAATAAAATGCATATTTGGACAAAAAATATGTAAAAGCATTATGTTTAATACTTTTAATTAGAAGTCCACGTAGAGCCTAGACCCAGCTCACGGGAGTCATGACCCCCGTGACCATCCCCCTGGATACACCCTTGGTCATGACATAAGAATTTCTAACATCAACCTTTTAGTTGTTAAGAGTAGGGTAGAGGGAGGTTGACCCTAACGAAAATTGACACTTTAAAGCTAGATAATAGGTAAAAGTTTACTAAATCAAAAACTGTCCTCCCACACCCTCAATTTTTTTAAGATCTATACAAGGACGCTATTGGCGAGATGTAAAAAATAACATCCCTACTTTACAGTAGGGGTGGAACACAAAAAAAAATTCTACATTTTATTTTACTTTGTCGGCATGATTAAATACGTGTATAGTAAGTGATTCATGCCAAATTAACACTTTCTAGGACTAATATTTTTTGAGGTAAACCGCGGTCGGACGGACTTACAGACAGACCTTATTGACTACGTAAACCTAAAAATGGGAATCTATTCATACTAATAAATTGACGTTTTTATAAAAAAAACTTATAAAGATTTTTACAAATTTTTCACGTATCAATAGGACTTGTGATTTTCTAGATACAGGGCTCATGGTTATTGCTTTAAATTGTTTTGACATTGTATTATTGGATCATATTAAAATATGAAATTGAGAAACAAGACAAAACTATTAATGATATCTTATTAACATTAAAAAAAAAAACAAAAATATTATACAGCTATTGCTTTTATCTATGGCTTTAACAAATGCTTTATACATGGGTAATTGATGGATCTGAGTCAGCATCCGCTGGAGGTTTATGTTTATGATTTATATATAACAAAGCTGATTTAATTAGAAATTCAAATGATCAAGCAAGTATTAATATTGTCTGCCGTCTTAAATTAATTACTATTTAGTGCTATTTAATATTTTTTTTATTCAATCTAACATTTGATATGTATGATTAAATATGTTGAGTTTTAGGGAAAAATTGTTGATTGATAAATTTAACAATTTGGATGGTGAAACTGTGGTAATAATCATGTTAATAATAGTTTTTTGTTTACTAGGTTCGGTGTGAGATAAACAATGCACTAATTCATTATTTTAAAACTACATGAAAAGGCAATCTTGTTAAAAATTTACAAAGAAAAATGTGTATTGTATTAAATAGCTGACAATGTTTACGTTTATTTATTTATATCTACGTGCTTTGGATCGCTGAATAATATATCATTGAATATATTTAGTAGGGCAATGTCATATAAGAAACAATGCACAGGCATGAATCATTAAATAATTTTTAAATGTATACCTATATATTGTTGTATGAGTAAATTAAAGACAGTAAATAAGTACTTTTAAGGGCGGAATTTGTTATTCATCATTATACGTAACTTGTAGAAACAGCTAACAAAATGGCACAAAATTTATAGATATTAATTTAACATAAAATATGTCACAATATAACATTTTCAAGAGATATGTTAATTCATTTTTATGTTCTTTTTAAACGTTTTTTGCAAAAAGAGGTGATTCTCGAGTCTAAATTCATCCCAAAAGTTATTAAACTTATTTTTGTTATTTGTCTGTCAAAATACAACAAGCATGTTGTTTTTTGGTAATGTTACTAAATAAATACATTATATTTTGGACCATTGACGGGACAGCGTTTGTTTAAAATTAATAAATCAAAATAAGAATGTCATTGTATTTGCCTTGAGTTTATGTGTATTATTTAAGCTATATATCTAATATTATAGTTCTGTTTGTTCTAAAATATGGCATTGGTTTTGTAAGAACGTAAACAAATATTATTCAGTACAGTGTTTGTGTATATAAATAAATGAATAAATATTTACTCAATTACTTCGTGACAAATATGAAAAATTATTGTTGACCCACAAGGGAACTGTTGTTACTCACCCAAAGCACTGTTAGCACTGACAGAAACAAACGCTACCACAAATAAGAGAAAAATAACTTTCATTTTGAAAATTTAATAATATGATTTATCCTAAACCGATTAATGAAATGACCGCGGCGATCTCCACCGGTGCATATATAGTGGACTGCGCCTGATCTATAGATTACGTGTTGTGATGCATTTTAGTTTTTGTTGCGTCCGCGATAAGGTTGGTGTCGACGGCAATATTTTATTTGTAATCGTATATTAATGTAAAGATGATAGCCTTATGGTTATTATAGTTAAGAAATAAAATCAATTTGAAAATAATTATTTTTATTATGTAATTTTAAACAACAGTGAAATTAACACTACAAGCGCAAATCTTCCACAGTGTGTTGCCCACGGACTGTCGGTATATGTTTTAGCCACGAAAGTGAGTCAACACAGGGATGTGTTTCCATGAAGGTTTTATGTTGCATTTTTATAAACGATATGTTATCAGACGACCTTTGTGTTCCCCCCCGCTAAGTGGTACGATTCTTGGCCGGGTTCATGTACTAGTCTTAGTAACAGAGTTCCCGTTTTACTCTTTGGGTACATAACCCTAAAAAATCTGTAAGCAATATTACATATATACAGTTGACAGTACGTCAGGCTATACAAAACTGACAAATTTCTCCACTTAATTTTTGACCTCAATGTTTTCTGAGTAGAGTTCAAAATCGTGACGTGCGGCCGTATGTACATTGCTCGAGACATTCAACTTAAATTAAAATTCATATCATAAGTTTAAATGCTGCTCCACTTTAACCATACTGTAGGGTTGGATTTTGCAAGACAAATAATAAGTTATGATTTCTAATTATTATATCCTGTTTTGTATCTTTATAAATAAATAAACAAAATCCCTCTTAACATATGATAAAGACATGCATTGCTTTGCAAAACTTATCGGCGTTTATTTGACGGACGAGACGATAACTTTTAGATGAATATGTCGTGGCCATATCGTAGAATTGATCATTTCACGATCCGGCCGGTCATTTTATGAAATAGTTCTATTTCATGAAACAGTAAACTTCATGAAATAGAACTATGACATGAAATGATCAAAATCGTTTAAGAGTCAATGTTTAATGATATGGCAATCACGTTAGTCATCACTCATCATTAATGTAAAGTTACAAAATAGAAATCTAATTATTTGCTGAAATAGCTTGTTTCTTCGATATCGTTATGATTTCGTGGTCTGAAAAAAAATCTTGAAATTTAATACGATCGCTACGCTACGCTTCGCGAATGTCTTAAATTTCTAACCCAACACAGTAGTAAAAGAAGTAAAACATTTACAGCCAGTTGCACAAACGTCCATTAATATTGTCATTAGTTTAAAGCGACGTTACCCATACAAATTTGACATTCATTAGAGCTTTAAGGCGTCATTAAACATAAATGGACGTTTGTGCAACTGACCGATAGCGAATTAAGTTCAATTCATATGAGATATTAACTGTATATATAAATCAATAAAATTTTATATCCTCCTAATATATTCTTATCATCAAGATCAAAATCCTGCCTTTACCCATAAAACTATAGAGTAGCCTTTGCCGCCGCACCTTCGCACTGCACTCCTACAATTATCTCACTAAACTTAATCAAGTAATTGTTCTCCGTTGCTTAGTCACCCTACTTTCTGTAATTTGTTGTATAACCTAAAAAATAAAATACATCATGTATCGCAAAAACAATGCGACAGCAGCGTCTCTTATTGGGACTTATGTTACAATTTTACGATATAATCACTAACGCTTGGCCACATCATGAAGAGTTATACGATCAGCCTCCCATATACTTAAATGCTAATTATTAATTGATCTGGACAGGCCACATCATAATATGGGCAGTAAGTTTTTCCATTTCATGAAATGCCGGCCGCATCATGAATTGGTCAATTCTACGATCTGGCCACAACATATACATGCTCGTTATACCGATAAAGTCTAATATTTTTTCCAGAACACAGAAAAGAGGTATCCACATGTAATATAATAAAATTCTTTCAGATTCAACATTTTTTTTTTAAATTTAAAATTCAACACCATATCTCTATATCAGAATTAATATTAACAGAAATCCGGAGATTAATGAGATCATTTGTTTGTAACAAAATGTCGATGGCGGCGCCCCTTGCCATGGACCACCATGTCTTGCTAAGTAATCGTATCTGACAATCTTAGACTAGTTAACGTGGTTTATTTGATCAAAACTTGTTGGAAAAAATGTAAAGTTTCAGCACAATAGCTTATCCCAGACTCTGGTAATAACTCTATAAGTTAACTGTCGTAAAAAGTTGTAGTATTTTGAGAAAATTGATACACCACAACGTGGTCGACGCACGACTCAAGTTTAAAAAAATTTACCAATTAATTTTTTTTAGCATTTTTTAAGAATATTTTTTCAGTATATCAATGGGAATGCAAAATTGATAAAATACAATAGTAATAAGTAACTTTTATTGCATATGATTTGACGGATAATAAAAAGACAGCGAGTGATTTCACCCAGTAGGCACTCGTCGTGTTTTTAGTGTAGAATTTTATAATGTAACAAGAAAATAATATATCATACTGCTACTACAACCAAACGTAAGCCACTATTGGCCTCAAATCTACGGTATTATAACTTCACATTTAAATTAATCAAAACATTATCATTATCGGCATTTTAATGTCCCCACAGTAAGAGTTCATACATATGGTACAAGAGAATGCGGGCCCATTACGGACTGGTGAGTGTTAAAGACTGTAGGTGCTTCCGGAACCAACAATAGCCTTTTTAACTAATATCCGAGAGTAGTGTTTTCGTTTTTTTTATATAAAAGGACATCAAACAGTTGAACAGTAAGCTTAACTATAAAAAATTATAACTACTGCCATTTAAATGGACATTTTAATGGTGCATATTAATATTTAATGAAACTATATATTTTTTAAACTGGATCAAACTGGATTGTATGATTTAAAATTCTGAACTATCAGATTAACAGATTTGTATAATGAGGCGAACTGGTTCTTATGTCAATGACGTCGTAAATGAGATGAAGGTAAATATTGTTAACAATACAATTGTGTAGTAAGTACAATGTAATACAAAACAAATCATTTACTGATAAGTTGTACGTATAGTATAATCTATTTAAGATAATAGCTAAATAATTAAATAACCCGGTTAATAGATAATAAATTGAAAAAGAAATGCTTATTATTAATTTATACGTGATTAATTAGTCAATAAAAAATCTAGGTATATTTTTTCAAAGTTTTACAATATTGACATTATCAATGCTCTTAATTCTGGACGAAATGTTCTATTGCAAAGTTTATATTATATCATTGTCGATGCTCAATTAAAATACATTTGGTTTAAATGAAAATGGTATCTCTACCTACCAAACAACACATGAAACATCAGCATAATGTGATGTCATTTATGCGTCATACAAAACACAATAATTGTGGTTGATTTGTAATGGTCAGACCGATCGTCGAATATTATTTTGTTAATATTTAATTGTTAAATTAGGCTCTCACTCCTATCATTATATGCTATCAACTGTACTATATCATAAAATGTAGTATTATATTATTAAAAAACAAAATAGAACTTTGTTTATCTCAGTTTTCTTTTAAGGAAATCAATTGTTGACTCAATGGCGATTGTTGATCAATTGGAGAATCCGTATTTTTCGTTCTTTTTGTGATTTAAGGTGTTTTGATGAAACCGAAATGAAATATCATAAATTATGTTAAAATTTGCATTAATTAGTCGTAATTAATGACAGGAAATAGTAAGATCAACAAAAATAAATGAAAGGGGTATTTTAAGTGAAAATTAAAAATTATTTTAGTAGAAATAACGCAGCAAGTGGTTAGGGAGACATGACATTTCATTTGCGTCAAGAAGGTAAAAAAAATTAGCATCAATGGTCCCCGACTTATAGATTTATTGATTACCTACATATATTAAATATTAAAAACCACCATTATAAAATCATACAGTTCTTTATTATACTTAGTTATAAATTATTTTATATTCTTTGACTTGTCAATTTTTTACTTTAATATTATTTTAATGAAATGGCTTTTCCACATAATATTATTTCATTGTTCAATTTCCTGTAATGTTATTGTTTCTTGTTTATTAGTTTCGACGATCGTGCTGTTGTAATAAACTGTCCGGTAAACGTTTACCTGTGGTGTTTGCTTTAAACTAGAAACAGCGCAAAGTAATAGTTTAACTAATAAACTGTATTCTATCAATATATTATACTATAACTAAACACAATGTAAATAGAATGCGTTTTTTATTTACATTAACGCCGTTCATTTCTTATCTTTCATTTCTTACATTAACAGCTTAATTGACAGAATATTAATTTTGAAAAATTGGATTTTACTTCCATTATAGTCGTTAATCACGGTTAAAAATATGTTAAAATATAAAGTTACTTTTATGTATTTGAACAATATTTTTTTTTTACTTTAATTTACTTTGACTTTGAATGAAAGGTCTTATTTTGAAATAAATAGTTTTAATATTATTTGCGTTTCGGAAAGTTGGTGGTGGTAGATCTAATTTCCGTAACTCATAAAATGTTTTAAAAAATACAGGAAATATATTCTATAATATTTATTATTTATGTAAAACCCTTCGCGCTCGTGTCCGACTCGCTCTTGCCTATTTTATATCTTTAACCAGCTTCAAAAATATGGCGGTTCACACTTTAAGACGTGTTGATGTGTGTAATGCCCGCAATTATCTCGCGTTTGGCTGAACCGATTTTGACGCGGTTTTCAGAAAAGCATTTTTAGTGTAAGTCGCTTTTTAGATAAGTATTATTTTTCACTTTTATATATATTAAATACACAGCGCGCGCGTAGCAAGTTGTCGACACGCACGCGGCCGGTGTCACGCATAGGTCATGATCAGTGGTCGGAATTAGGTAGAGTTATTCATGTACTTACACTGATTTCATACAGCGAAAGAATAAAGTGGATATGCCTCAAATCCCGTGATTA